GTGGAAACGTACGTAATTCAAAATTTGAGGACTCTAGGTACCATTGTTTTATTACAGTGCGAGAAACATACATACCTTTATGCAGATTCTCCCTTATTTAATATCTTTAAATATAAATACAGGGCGATAATATTTGGTGGCAACAATTTGAAAAGTGAACCCGACGTCTATAGTGAATCAACGCAAAATGCCAAAACGAAATTAATAGTCCTTCTGGGCAAATTGCCCCTTTGGACTAATAATGAGAAGAGCTCCCTCAACAAAGCATTAAAAAGTAGATTACCATTTATTCTGCAGCAGGTCTATTGCGGATATATATGATACGAAAGCGTGTAAACGAAATTACTTTCGAAGATCACGAAAACCAATTTTCATACAAAAATAAACACCCCGTTTATATATATATATATATAAACTTAGAATGAATTGAGCCACAACTACAAAACTGGGCAGTAATACAGTGCTCGAGTAGATAAACAAATAGCAATATAAAGAATATGAAATTCAGTAAATGGTAAAGCGACACCGGATACAAGTCGGATGGGCATGGAGTCTATTAAATTGCCGATGTCCCTCTGCTGTAGGCTGCGCTGCAAATAGAGCAACTGGTCAGCGAGTTGGAACATATTTGTACTCGTATGAATTTGCCTGCCCAACATTTCCCAAACAACAAATATTCGCATTCAAATTGCCCCACACGCAGGTAAGACTTAAGTAGCCCAACATGAGTTTCATAGCTCCATAGAAAGGATAATTACAATTATTACAAAATGTATTTAAAATGAAGTGGAAAATATTGTACTTAATTATGAAAAATGTAATTAAAAAAACTCGAATAATTTTATTTCTAGAATCATTTCCAGTTTAAAATTATCTTTATATTCGACTTGTTAGTCGAATCAAAAAGGAAATAATCGAGTTATTTCCAATATGAAATTATCTAATAACGAAATTTATCCACTCAGGACAATGAAAATATTTCAGTCAGGAATGCAACCAGAAGAACTAAAATAACAAAAATAGTTACATGCTTCTTTTTAAAGCGAAGTTTAATTAGACTACAAATTCAGATCGCTCTCAGCAAAATAGAAAACAAAGCGTTCCCGCCTCCGCAGTAATCAGATGCTTCTAAAATAAAATTTTCACTCAAGGTATGATTTAGAAAAGCCACACAGGAAGAAGGCTACGAAAACATCACAGAAGGGAAATTAGAGAGCTAAACAGTGGCATGTAAAGCTTTGCGTGTGTGCAAGGGCTCCCGCAGTGAAGATTATTTATTTGTCAAAGAGAGTTTTTTGAGAATTTCTCTAGCCAAATAACACATGCAACGAAAATAAACTCTTAGGCAATTTACTTTAAATACCTCGCACAGATAATTTCATCCAAACATCTTTCATGTGACACACTGCTATATTCACTCGCTGCAGTCGCAAGCTTGTTCCGAGTTCAAAACCCGGAGAAGGCAAAAATGTTACTAAGTGTATAGTGCTTTCGGGGCATGAAGACGCTTAAATTCTTAAAAGATGTTGTAGTATTGTGAATTTAGTATTGCAAATTTGTGTATTGTTTAAAATTTTAAAAGTACCCTATACAACAAATTGAATTTAGAAATGCGTAAATATAACTTGACTGATACGAAGCAAATTTTGCAAAATTTTCATGTTTAGGTCAAAGCCAGGTAATAAAGTTAATTAATTAGATTTAGAAATGTTTGTTTTGTAAATTCTTGTCTCACTCAAAGTTGTTAAGTACAAATACTCTGATGCATTATACTGTTGAAATACGCGCCATCGTCACAGCCGCTCCGTTTGACTAAGTCGAACGTTCTGAAGCCGAGCTGTTCTGAAAGATCTCATAGCTTCCCTAAAAACTTATATTCTCCCATGGAACTCGGAGAAGAAGCAACGCGTGTAGTGTAATGTCATGAACTCAGCCCGTGCGCATCCGATTGTGCTGCGAGCATAAAACGGGCAAGCGCACCGAGCAATGGAGATTTTTTTGCTTCTTGAAAAAGATGTCTTCTCGTGGAAACCAGTTCCTGGAAGCCGCATGTAAAAGCGAAAATCGGATACTGTGATAATGATGATTCTTTCATGATTTATTGTAAATAATTTTTCGCATGCATTTTAGTCCAGAAATAAAAGCTTCCATGCTTTTAACTTCGCAGTTCTGATTTGATAATTGTCTATGACATTACAGGGTATTCGAAAAAATGTTGCTAATAAAACTCAAATCGATTTATATATGAATTTTGAAAGACAGCTTTCAAGACAAAATATGGTAACCTGGTGGTGACGAATTATCATCCACCAGCTGTTAGTTCAGGTGATACTTGTAGTCTTTTAGAATTTTTCTCTGCCAGGAAACTAAAGAAATCCGCAAAGCGCTCGTCGGGATTCAAACTTCGGACCTCTCGAATAAGCGTCGAATGTGCTTCAGTTATATTACGAAGCCATGCGGAAAGGAGAAAGAAAATACCTTATATACTGATATATGTATATTTATATATGAACACTTTTTGAAAATTAACAAATTTAAGTAAAGAACTATATTGGTCGATGAACATCTACAATTCGTGATCGCGCTAGTCATTTTTCTCCAAGGTTACGAACTTCATCAAAATCGAAACACCATGAGGCTGAAAGTTTTAGAAAGAAATAAAGAAGTTCATAATTATTTACATATAAATATGCATTTTGTTCTGTATGCAACACAGAAAAATGTAATAAATAAAAGAAAGAGAGTAGGTTGCCATTATTTATTCTCAAGTTTTGCTTCTCTTGTAAATATTTTGTAATTCGTTTTAGCTAAAAGCAAGTTATTTAATGGTTGCTTTAATATATTAGAATTATTTGAGTATAAATATTAATCTGAAAATTTAATATTTAGCTGTTAATACGTCTGAATAATAAAGCCCAGCTAACGGAAAGTTCTCCCAAAAAATTTTCATTGAAAAATAATAATAGTCCGACCCGCCAGCTCAGTATCAAACGTGCGAATTCGGCCTGCGTGCAACCTCAGTTTGAGATTACTCGTTTAATTCTTTTCACACTAATCAGAAGCATCAACATTCTTTTTATGCAATTTTTAACAACGGGCAACAGCTGCTTGTATATCGCTGTACATTACCAAGGGACAGGGCTCACTTATAACAAAATTACAAAAGAGATGAGGTCGAAAACATCTAAAGTATTTACTCAAAAATTATGAATAGCGATGAAAGCTTGCTTCCCAAAGCTAAAGATGAGTTGTTGTCGAGTCCATATTTCATGAAAGAATAGCTGCCAGAGCCTCAAGGAGGTTGGACTTCTACTTCCCCCTCCCAGTTCTGAGGTAGAGCACCCGGGAGGGGGGGAGTGGTCCGAGGTTCTTCCACCTCTCTTCCCTATCATAAACCACACGAGAGGACTTTCGGCTCGTCATACATTTAGAGTGCCCCCATGCCGAAAAAGCAGTATACATTTACAACAGCCATGTTTATTCCAGGATTTGAACCCCGGCCCTTCAATACGGCAGGCAGAATCACTAACCACTAACATCACTAACCATTTGGGCGGCTAAAGAACAGTTATACTTATTCAAAAATTTTTTTAAAAACGACTACCGAAAAAAGTTACTTCTAACAACATTTCTTAAGGAGACTCTCCAGTATTATTATTTATGCCTAAATATATGCCGCACAAGATTTCAGTTTCCAGACATGCATGCAACAACTCCTTTAGTCATTAATCAAAGCGAAGAATTTTTTACTTTTTTATACAATAAAAGAATTCTTAGATAGGATCAGCTTTAAGAGAGACATGGAAAAAGAGAGCTAGTTTTATTTTTTAAGTTAAAAATCACGATCTCCTACTTTTGCAAAATTCTTTGCTCCTCAAAACTATACAGATGATTGATCGCCCTCGAAATCGATAGTTTTTATTTAAAATTTATGTGAATTAAAGAGGGTTTTTTTTGGGGAGGCAGGCTAATTTTAAATTTCACACTGTGTATCTTTTTTAATTAGATCATGACGGCTGTCGAACTAATATCAAGTAAAATGATTGCATGATCTAATATTTTCGCTGTCTTCTTGCTTTCATTTAATTATTTCTTTGTACTTTTTTGAAAGAAGCAGATGCAATGCTTTTGCATTCTAATCTTTGAAACTGATTGCTAACTATAAAATAAAAGTTCTTCGTTGGAGGAGAAGAAGGAAACAAAATGATAAACCAAAGGGAAAATAAAGAAGAAGTTAATTAACTCACAGAATACCAAAGTGACCCGTAGATACTTCTTATATCTTCGAGACATAAAATAAATACATATTTTGTTATGAAACGCAATGAGTTTTATATTTTTAATATTAACTAAAAACTAACACAGAATCAGTTAAACATATAAAACAAAGTTCTTATTTACCAGACTCTGTTAATAAATATTGCAGTAAAGAGGACAGTACAATAGAAATAAGTGCTTTAAACTCTGGTTCTTAACGACGCAATCCAATAATAATTTATTATTATTATTTTATTTTCATGTTGGTGTAATAATAAAGTTAGGAAAGTGCAAAAGGTAGGGCACAATAAAAAGTTAAAAGGCAAGAAAGCAAAAACGAAAAGGTTAAAAATCCTTCAGTTATAGGATTAATACGATCGTAAAAAGAGACCAGGTGTAGGATTTCGAAGTTAAGATAGAAATGTTTTTACGATCCCATTCTCTCGAAAGCGCGCCCAGCCCCATAATTATGTTCAGATTCTTACTACGACGTACGTGCAGAGAGCGCAGTCTTTCATTCATTTTCATTCACACGCAGCCGTAAACCGGTGGACGACTTTTAGGACGCGTTTTCTTACTAACGTCTTTTAATCACAGAAGCCTTTTTCCCACGGCCATCCTCTCCTTCAGGTGCGTTTCTTTCTTCCCCTCCGTCAGAAATGCCTTCCACCCCTCCAAGACGCCCGCGGGTAGGACCGGTCCTCGGCCATTCATGAGTGACTCACTATAAATAATCGTGTAGTACGCGCGAGAAGGAAGTTGAATGAGCACGTGAAAGAGCGAGCAGTCTTTTCGGTTGCGGTAAAAAATTGGCCGACTAGGTGTGCATTGAGTATTGAGTATAGTTAGCAAACAGACGAGCAACAACAACAGAGACCAACTGGTGCATTTCTCTGTGATCCACCTGTGATGATTATGAATATGGTGCAGAGACTTTCATGGTGGCTGACACTTACATGGCTGGTGGCAGCTCTAAGCACAGTCAAGACAGCGATGGTTTCTAGGTTTCCAGTGAATTTCAGGCATAATCATAAAACGGCTTTCAGGATCTTTTACCAAACAGGGGTAAGCGATTATTTTAGATATTTTATGCTAATGAGAAATATCTTTGCATTTCGTTTAAACTGTTGAATATTTGGATTTTACATATGATTCTGCTTCGAAACTGATAGTTAATAGCTAACGTTGAAAATATGTCAACACAGTATCCGATTTCTCATACATTACAAAAAGAAAAATTACAGTGAGTTTCTGACATGATTAAATCTCATAAAATGTTCAACAAATCGTAAATGGCATTGATAATAAACTCCAGGTAGGTATGTGAGCTGTAGTTCTTATAAGGTTTTCTTACAGATGAAATGCATTATTCTCCTAACATGTACTTCAAGACATCATTTGCGATAATCCCAAATAAGCAAACGATGAAATAAAGCAATAATATGAAAATGAGTATACGTAGGGTCCAATGTACAAAAATGGAGGCATGAGGAAAATTCTTATCGTAGCCATACCTTCAGTAATTTTTTCAGTATAATAGATTTCACTGATGAGAATTACTGAGTTATTTTACGAAATAACCTAATATTTTATGTTTTTTCATTTAAAGTTGTTTAAACTAAAAATATATTTTTCACTTTTCTATACATTTTGTTTGTATGATTTAATTTTACTATATGCCTATAAAACATAATTTTATGCATTTATTTATCAACAAAAAATTTCCAAAGAAAAAACATGGTCTTGTTCCACCCCTGAAGGAATACAGAGATACGAACAAAACAATGCAATTTAATAATCAAATACATGGCTATGCTTATGATAATCAAAAGACCATCATATTCACAAATCATCACGAGCTTCAAATGTGGTCATACAATAGAAATTCTTACAATTTAGCTTCTTTAGTTTACAAGCCACTAAATGATATCAGTGGTTAATGAGAGTGCAAGACAACAATCTAGTCTCTAATTTTTAAAGACATAAAAATTGAAATAGGCAATTTAAAAATTTTGTTCCTGCTTCCAATTTTATACTTTTAAAAACCTAGGATTTAAAATTCCCCATATTTTAAATTTTACTAAAGCATTTATAGGCCCTCCCTAAGAGTACAAACAACGATCATAAACTCTTGAATAAATCAGATCCTGCTGATACGTACAATTAAATATTAAAAAGCGGGACATACTTTTCATGGAATATTATATAGTTCTGTAGAACATTAATATTTCTTAGAATATTTTAAGCCGCCCCGAAGATAGTGGTTAGGTACTGCGATACTGAAGGGCCTGGTTTCAAATTCCGAAGCAGGCAGGGCTGTTTGTAAATATATAGTGTCTTTGCGGCATGCACTCTAAATACATGGCCAGCCGAAAGCCCTGTCGAGAGGTCGATGGTAGAGGAAGAGATGGTGGAAAACCGTCGGACCCCTGGGTTTCTTAATCAAAACTGGGGCCCAACTGAGCGAAGTCGTACTATCACCTGTATGGTACTCAAGATGCTAGGCAACGACAGGCGCAGTCTTGCTATCCTTGCCATGCTGAAATTTCGTGGGCTTGTTCCGATGTTACTGTGAGACACGAGTAAGTCACAACACAAACAACATTTTAATGTGTTTTCGTTATGATGGAATATCGAGACACAAGCGGCTAGTTTTTAGATATTCATAGAAAAATTAAAAGTGTACCAACCTTTTTATGAATTTCAAGCGAAAATCTTAGGAAAGAGAAAAGTAGAAATTATTACAAGATAATGCATATTTCAATACATGGGAAAAAGTCGCTTCTGAAAACGCAGATCATATGCGTGACGTGTTATCACGCTCTTAGGCAAGGTGAAACTGTTAAAATTTTTTGGATTAAAATACTGCAAATTAGATTTATGTTGCGGGTCGGCCAAAAGGATAATATGGTCTTTGTGCTGTAGAAGCGCTTTAAAAAAATTTGTTGTAGTCGATGAAAAAAGTAGCTACAGATAGATAACAGCCTAACAGGACTGTTTTCAAGCCTAAACGATGTAGGGAAGCCGCTTAGGCAGCCGATTGTCGGATGTCTCCATCAAAGTTCTCACAACGGAATACTAAAAAAAGATATTTTTCACTTTGAGTTATTAAAATGTTTAATTTACACGGGAGCACCAACTGTACTTTATATAGCCTATAGGTATTATAAATAGCCAAAGGTATTGATGATGGACCTGCTGGTCAAATATCCATATTAACTGCAAATAGTCTATGTTACACAGATTGCTAATATATTGAAAGTATGGAAATATACTTCAATTTTAGATGGTTTCTACCTAAAAAAATTTTGACTAACCAAGTATCAAATTATCTTTAATGTTTCTCAGTCAGCTTTATAAGATATATTTCTGGAACACGCAGGGGATTAATAAAATTTTATTTTCAGTAACAACCTATTTTTATTTTACTAATTACAAAGAGGTTTTAGCGCTTTTAACATAAAAAAAGATTGCTTCACACATTAGCATATAAGCCTTACTTCCCCCCCCCCCAAAAAAAATAAATCAGATTGTTAAAGAAGCTGCTTAAGGAAAGTGAAACTAATTGGAAAAGATCATCGCAATCCTTACTTAATCATAAATGAATAGAGGCAAAAGCTTCATTTACTACGCAACTGCTGCTTGATTGGAAACGAGTAACCAATTTCAATGCAAAAACGTTCCGGGAACTATGACAGCGAAAATACATGTTTTCCTTCAGAAGCGATTAAACTATTCGTAAATATTTCTTGCACGCTATTGAGGAAAGAATGCCAGGAACACGTCTAAACTATTTATACAGGAAAAAAAAAAAAAAAAAAAAAAAGATCACGCACTGATTCTTTTGCAGTGCTCATTAAAAGAGGAATATCTAAATGTTCTGTTAAGTAAAAGAAAGAAATTTTGATATATTTAGTGAAAATTTCATGACTTTCACACTCAATAAAAATGATAATACAATTAATAACTCTATAATATGTTTAAGTTAACCAATTTTTCAGTGAGTAACTGCGTGCAATAAAAACAAGCCCACTAGCTGCCGAGTGGCAAGAGCACTAAACACTGGTAATTCAATCGGTGTTCAAATCCTGAGGAATGGCTGGCTGCATGGGAGTTTTCATCGTTTTTCGCATGTATAAATGTGAATATGAGACAGTTTTCATCAAAAAGTCTTCCAGCAAGGCATTCCTTTCCTTAGAGAAAAGCCATCGTTTATTTTATTATAATCCAAATAATTATAATTCTAAAGAAGGAGGAATGTAACTACTGCGTATTTAAACTTCTGCAATAATAATAAGAAAAATAAAAATGTCTAATAGTTTTGTTTGGTTTATTAACTAAGCAGAGAAATCTATTATAACAAGAACTTCTTACCGTATTTTACGAATGTTAATATGAGACCTGACTTTTCGATAGCACTCTGACAGCAAATGTTAATATTTTTTTATTAATAACATGGCTCATCGCATAGCTTATATATTTTTATGAGGGAAAAGTAGATTTATGAGGATCCTCAAAAATAGATAAAGCTTTACCAAACATGGGTCTTATGGGTTTAGGGAGCAGGGTCCTACTAAAAGACAAGCTTAAAAAAAATGCAGGTATGCATGCTTTCAAATTAGAGTTGGTTAATTGTCTGGCAAAGCATGCGAAAACTAAGGGATGAAAAACTTTTGTGGAAGATCTTTTCTAATAGAAACTAGCGCATATTTACGTTATTTATACGGTCAAGTACGAAAACTCCGTACCTCCAGCATTTCAACTACTTTGAATCGAATCACGGCGAAATACCAGTGCCTCGTGGCTTCTTGCAAAGGCGACGTAAAGAAGGAAAACTTAGAATTTCGGAAAGAGCAGAGCTTCGTAAATTTTTTTGCTGCTTCTTTCCCAGTGTTCTGCTGCTTTTGTTTATTTGTAAAATATTATATATATAAAATATTATATTTCCTAAACAATTATATATATATAATTTATTTCCTAAACAATATTGATTAATTGATTATATTATCTCCTAAGTAACGTTTTGTAATAAATGCATTTTCGCCTCCAACCACTCAACTATACACCCCTCCCCCAAACTCTCCTAAGAACAATGATATTTACCAAATTAAAAAATTATTCATTCGTATTTTCTATTACCCATTACAAAATTATTCAATCCTCCTAAAATAATAGCATTAAAAGAAAGAGGTTAATGTGACCACTTTGTACGATAACTCCACATATCTGTTATAACAAAGACTCTCACGCACGCAAGCGATATTCGTAACGCATAAAAAACACAGCAGATGAAAAGAAACGCATAAAAATAAAAGGCCACCGCGGACAACAGCAACAAATAGAGGAAAAGTCGGGTAGAGAGATTATGCTGATTACCCGACTTGCAGGTTCGTTTGTTTTGAAAGCGCTTGCCGAGAGGTTGGGGCGTCAACTACACCATGCTGCTCCATTTCAGTCAACTCCGAGGAACGGTTTGCTTCATTCGTATTTGAAAGGGCGCGGCGAAGCAAAAGTGAGACGAAGCAAAAGGAAGTTAGTTGAGCGAATAAAATGTTCGAAAGCGAATACAAAATGTGCAGTTTCGAGGATGCGACTGTTGAAAGCTGCATTCGAATCCATCTTCAGTCTTTTCTATAGAGCATGGTAGCATGGTCACGTAATGCTTTCCACTAACATTTGATTCCTGAAGAATGCTGGTTGTTGTCCTTTCTGAGATCACAAACTTCAAGTAAAGATATTATTAAAAGGGGATAAAAGAAGCACTGAATTGTAATATCATAAAATTGAATAATCTCTTCGATTATATGGTTAAATATTCCCTCCCTTTTCTTGCTGATTATCTCAATTCCTCAAGATAGGATAATAGGATAGACCCATGAATAGTCAAGCTTACATATCTATGATTGACACTGTCTAGAACCGACAATGAACAAGATCGGCGAGCCATAGAATCGATCCTAGCTACTGGCGCCATTCCCCCCCCCAAAAAAAAACACGGTTAGAGAAACTTTTAAAATAATAATAATGAATAAGAAGATTAATGCACATTTTTTAGCAACAGTGTC